TGAACAGATACGGGTTATGGGAGGTAGAAATATAGATTTAGGCTAGAGGCGACCACCAACTCTCCCCTCCTTCCACCTACGTCCTACGCCGTTTCGGGGTGCACAGGGAAAGCTAATACAGATTGCCAGGCCACCGGTGAATGAAGCCAACCCTTGAAGCGTCTTTAACCGTGTACGTGTTACGTGTAGCCGCGCGCTTACGCGATAGAGAGAGGATCCGCGGTTTCATCCGCCTAAGTCCTTGGGTTTACAGCGATTATGGATTCGCGCGCGATCTTACACCGACACTGTCGGCATCGTTGGCACGACCCCCTCCCCTTCCCTCCCACTCCTCATTCCCGTAGCTACTCCACGTTTGTACGTTTGGCTTGAGTTTCCGCCCGGGTTTGCCGCCGTCGTTTCCAACCTGGGGGGGGGGAGGGAGCGGGGGAGGTAAGACGGGCGGCTAGAGCTGATTTACTGCCGGCTTATGGGGTGTGAGACAACGCCGCGACGTTGGATGAACGAGTTAATGGGGCGATCGAGTCAACAGCCACGATTGATTTTATTATTCCCAATCAAGTCTCATTTTTTGTTTATCGTTGTTTATCTCGCGATATTTCTCCTTATACAGTTGCCTATTTTTCATTCGAGGATGAAAGGTTAGTTGGTTCTTGTTGCTGGAGACCGTAAGGGAGGGAGGGGATGAGGGAGCGATTTGAGGTAAATCGGAGTCACGCTCGTTAGGAGGAAGGAAGATATAGGGGCTAGTTAAAATAAATCTTAGAAGGGAGTAATTATACGTGTATTAGCTAGCCCCGTTGTGCAAGTGATGGACGACGCAGCGGCAGATGTACCGAAACGGCTCTTCATTCCTCGATTTCCTTTATTGCCACTGGACGGATACGTTGCGAGCAGCGTCTACACTCTTCTTCTCTGCGAGAACTGGTTTATAGTGGAAAGACAGAATACAAGAATATACGTGTAATATCGTACGTACGTATATATTCTTTCTTCGTTCCTTCCTTTTCCGACTTCCGTTCAAATGGTGATAGGACGGGGGGAGAGGAGGGGAGGGGGGGAGGGGGGAGTAGCGGCGAATCGCCTCGAGATTCAGCAAAGATCAATCGCGTATCGTGCATGATATCGCAAGTTATCGGATACAGGTTGCGCCGAAACCCCGGGTTCGACGAATTGTGCTCGTCGAATGGCTTTACGAGCTCATCGACAATTACTAGTGTTTTGCCCGGGAGTCCAATTAGTTGCTGATCAAAGTAACATTTAACCACGGCTCTTTACTTCCGTTCTCATTAAGCTCATCAGTGCATCGGATGGGCACGTGTTCATGGCGCGATATTAATTTACCTTTGAAAGCAATCGAACAGTTGCGATTCACAAATTCGAGCGCGGACTCGGTCCAAAATTTCCAATAAAATAACCAACTTTAACCGCCCCTACCTTCGCTGTCGCTGCCTCCGCTGGCACTGCCACACGCTCCTCTCCCCGACCCGCTCACCTCCCTTCGCTACGCACATACGCGCGCAGTTATACCAGCCTTCCTTCTCTCTGTTTCTCCCTTCCTCCCACCCGACCCTCCCCCCTCCCTCCTCGTCCCCACTCTCCTGTTCCATCCCTGTTACACGTGGAGTGTATCGGAGACAAGCCACCGCCGCCGCGGCGTCCGCTCGCATCATCCTATCCGCTCCTCTGTTCCCCAGGAATCGGTGAACTCATTATTACGATAAACTCGTATACATATTTATCGCAGATGCATTATTACTCTTTCGCCGATGGCCCGGCGTGGTCATCGATTGTGAATTTCATTTCGCGACTTAATGTACCGAATAGTAATGCCGCGTCGAGGTACTTTTCATTAACGCGCACGCTGTTTACGGCATTAAGCCCAATTAAAAGCGGACCGGATACAAACGTTAAAGCCAAACTGTTATCTCGCTGCGCCTACTCCCACCACCACCGCCCGTCCCCCACCACACCGCCGAGTTAAACGATGCGCGGCAAACGGTCGCTCGTCTAACGTGCGGCGGGGAGAGATGGTGAAAAAACTGTGGGGGAAGAGGGGAGGGGAGAAACGTCTTTTCGCTCGTCTCTCCTCCATTCCCGCCGGGCCGAATAATGGTCCGGCTTCGGTTTCATTTGGTTAGCGCCAGCTGTACCGGCCGTGTTCCAACTAATATCGATAAATTCACAGGTGTACCGCACAAGTGCGCGCGTCCACAGCGCGCATCAATTTCGAGGAGCTTAACTCGAAAACACACGCGACTCGAAGCCAAGATCGAAGTTTTTCCCGCTTCGTTCGAGAATGGTAAAGGAGAATCGACACTTCGAAGTCAAAGATATTGACACTCTGTGTCATTCTCGATCCTCGCTTAGAGATTCTCGTTAATTATCCGAGTTTGCTTCGAGGATAATTATCGTTCACCCACGACTGATGGATTAACGCCAAGATTATACAAAAGATCGATCGAATAAGCGGGCAAATAAGATTAAACCCGATGAAACGTTTCACGAAAATACGCGTGACGCGGCAGATAAACAGAGTGTAACGATTATCGATTATCTAGTTGATGATAAATATCATCGACGAATTTCGAGCTGCGCTCGCGTGAAAAGATACAAACGCGCCTACTTTTCCTCGTTCCAACCGCTATAAGTAGACACGGTTTATTCGAGAGGTCGGTTTAACGTCGTGCGACGTATGCACGGCCCACACCATGCATTGGTGGGACACGTGCGTGGAACGACACCGCGCGTGGAGAACGGCTCGCGAGCAACCGCAAAGCGCTAATGCTGGTCGGGCAAACGGTCGCGGTGGGGTTTAGACACCGCCGGTATAGATAGGGTGAACGAGTGGCGAGGAATCGCGAGGACGGACATAAAGAGAGACGAGTTTGAAAGGAGAGGGAGCAGAGAGGAGGAGGACGGAGATATATTCCGTGTACAGTGGGAAGGTGAGAGACGAGGGAGAGAGAGATGGGGCGAGATAGAGAGAAGCGAACGAAGCTCAGGAGTGAGGGAGGACGTTATTGTTATCTTAGATTTATAGTCATAACGGATGGTACTACCTCGCTAGCCAGCAACCCCGAGCGGTCTTATAATCACCCTCCACCCCCTACTTCCATCCCCGCTCCTCCCTTCCCCCCGGCCTTCTCTATCCTCCGCACCCTCGACTATCCAACCCCCACCCCCACCTCGCTCCTTCCGAGCTTGCCCTCGCGTAGCTCCACCAGCCGCAGTTTAAGTGATTTGCGACGCGGTAGAGCCGCCATGCAGATCCTTTTGCCTGTAGCTGCCCCCGCAACCCTCCACCCCTAAACCACCACCACCACCACCACCACCACCACTACCATCACGTAGCCGGCTCCGATGCCGCCGCGCCCGCGGCCGAAACGAGCGACGCCCGCGAGGGATTAAGTCTACGGCTAAGAGGAAGGAGCTTGGGAAGATGGAGGAGTGCGGACACCCCTCCGTGAAATTTTTCGTCGATCGACCATCGTTGTTTTATTCTATTGAAATATCTGTCGACAACCATTTTTCCTTGTCTAATATATTTCGCGCGGACGAATGATGCGAGAGATTCTTTGAGGATAGGAAGAACAAGAGGAGGTGGATAAGAGGAACCAATCGAGAGAACCTCGGCGTCAGCGCTCGTTACCCCCCTCCCCCCCTCGTTCGGGTCCCCCACTCGACTCCAACCGGATTGCCCTAAGTAGAATCTTTCTAATCGGTCGAATATCACGAATCTTAATCCCCTATGTGCGCTTGCTCATTTAATATCCCGAAATTATTGCGAAACGGTTAAGTTGAAATATCCAGTTTCTGAAGCTACGTCTGTCCACACGGTGAGCCGAGCAAATCTATCTTCATCAAAAAAAAGGGCGTTAATGAGAAATTCGCGGCACGATGGAAAGAACAAGTTCTCTCTCGTCGGGGAACAAATGTTAGGAAGAGAGAAGAATCAAATATAGTTACTTCGAGCGTCCTCTCCCCTAGGAAAAAAAAAAAAAAGCAAGAGAGTAAACCGCGAAAGCGCGCAGCACCCCACACAGGCGACGATGACGAGGGCGAAGGGAAGGCGCACGCGTGAAAGAAAATAACGTGGGTCCGGGTCGTCGGTTGGACGACCGAGACGCGACGACCCGGTTTAGGACGATAAGGGATCCCGTAGAGCTTGATGGAATTCCATAGATCCACGTCGGCGTCGAGACAGAGTCGGCTAAGCAGCCATTTAAATGCAACCGATGTGTCTCGGGGAGCTATTACATCTGATGGACGGTTATTGACGCGCACTGGCTTATACCGAGCAGCACACAGGCAGCCACCCCCGCAGTCCCACAACCCTGCAAACCCCACATCCGCGCCGCGTCTCAACCACTCGCTCCATTCCTACGTAAACTCTCCACTATACATCGATTCGTTAGCTTTGTATGTGTGTGTGTGTATACTCTCCGTTTAGCCTCTGGTATTTATTCCCGCACGAACGTGGATGCGAGCGTGACGAAACCACGAAAAGCGCATAGCGTGGAAAAAGGATGGAAAGAAGAGGAAGAAGAAGAAGAAGAAGAAAGACGAAAGATTGGGTGGGATAAAGGGGAAAGCCATCCGGCTGAATTCAGCCTCTTCGATACGAGTCCGATGGGAGAGTCTTTCCGTCGTCGAAGTGGACGTGTCGCGAAACGTTTAGTCGAAATTGCCTTCTCCCTCAATTAACCAACTGGATGTTTTGGAATTTGTGGAATTGGTATTGGCAGCCTCGAAAGAATGTAAATTCGGGTTGATCTTATATCGGATATCGGAACGAATGTCACGGAAGTGAATGTAACGAACTTTCTGGTGGAAAGTGGCGAGCGATAGTTGGGCGAATATATTTGCATTCGAATGGATGTATTTTGTTGCATTCTCGACTTTTTTCAATCAAATCGAGAAAACTTATTTGCATTCCCTCAAATTTGATGCACCAATTAAATTATACGATCGATAATTAAACGAGGATAATGTGAACTGTCTCGATTTGTGTTTGAACATCTTATGTTTCTATCCATCGCTTGACCCAACCTAAATTCGAAAATCCATTTAAAATCCATCGGATTATTATATTTTCGCGTCTCGTTACCAGATCTATTATCTCGAGCAAAATGAAACGAAACAAGAAGGTAGAAAAATATTTTAGGCAAAATTGAGATTCAATTTGTCGCCTCCAATGGCGACTTTCATTTAATTTCATGCAGCAACGGTAAACGAGTGAAAGACGATAACGATTGTCCTATGGTTAGTATCCGTTTGTATCTCGATGTAACGAGCATAATTGCGTGTTTTTTCCTTTCTCTAACGAGAAATCGATAAGTAGGTATAACGAAAAAACAAACATAGACTCGTGTCATAATTGATCGAGGAGTTCGGTGTGCACTCGCATAATACGTTTTCATGAGGTAAGAATTAAAGTGAAAATGAAAATAATTGAAAATATCTTCAATAATATATCGTAACATCGATTGAAACTTTAAACATTATCAATATAGCAATAATATATATCCGACTGAACCTTTATATCATTTCGATAGGAACGAAAAGAGATTGTAAGATCTTTTCTCTGACAGAAACTCCAAACTTGACGGAAGACACGAGACAACATATCTCGACGATGCATCTTCTAAAAGATATCATACTCAAATATAATGTATATACAAAAAACATTGACTTTGTTCATGATAACTTAAAACTGGAACTCTTCAATTTTTTTACCGAATTCATTTCTTTTTTTTTTTTTTTTACATCTTTTATTAAATTGGAAGATGTTCGAAATAAATATTTTTGGTATTTTCTAGAGCTTTTTAGAAACTTGTCACTTTCTAAAATACTTGAAATTGTCGTGGCAAAAAAACTTTTAAAATGAGAGTTAATGTATCATGTACAAGAATCAATGAAACTACTAGATTTCAGATATTGCAAGAACAGAATGCGCCCCGTGAATTGAAGTATCGAAAGCAGGAAAAATTTGGATAAAAATTAATAAACAATCGCTGCTTATCCACTTGCTCGTTTTCAACGTAACATCGCATTAATTATTTATACATAATAAAATAATAATAAGTTGAATATTAGACAGCGTTTTAGTGCTTACTTGCACGTCGCATTAGCCCCGTTTGCATTCGTTATTTGTCGTCGAACGCTCGCAAACTCGAATAGATCGCATAACTGCGGAAGAACGCCCGTCTTACGTACGACCCTGTTTACCACGATTTTTCGAATTTACGTCTCGTTACGGGACGTCATTTCCAGCAGAAACTATAAAATAAATTCGAGGAGACGATCCCCACAGATTGCCGCTCGTGCGTCCACGGCGGAGTTTGCGTCCTGAGAGGAATCACTTGCAATTCCGCCAAGTGCATCCCGTAATTCGAGATACGTACGGAATAGAAGAGAGAGAGAATAACTGAAATTTGGATAATCGCGACACGCGTAACACACGCCCGTCATCCTTCTTTCAAGTAAGTCTGTCGATCATTGCCACGCTTATTTTAAGCTTGAAAAATTTCACTCTGAAATGAACCTGTACAGACTCGAATCACAAAGTATTTGTTAATTGTCAAGAATCATTCTTATGAAACTGTAATTATTACGTGTTTAAAATTGGTGATCGAATTAAAAGATCGCGCATATATTCGTTAGATTTGTACAATAATAAGTGACTTACGTCCGTAATTTTCACGTTACATTTTTATTACCGTCCAATATATGGGCATCGTTCGATAAATAAAATGTGAATGTCGATCGCTAATACACGTTTTCCACACTTTTTGCTATTCTATTTTTTCTCTCTCTGACTCACGCGTTTATTATACCCGATTGAGTAAATCGTGCGTAACGGTGACACAGAGAATGCCAGCGATCAATATTCATTTTCGGATAACGAAAACCGGAGAAATCTTCGAGGCTTGCTCGATCGATAAAACAGGATCGCGTTTCAAAAACGATTATCGACGAACGGAGGATCGAAACACATTTTCAAAGAACCGACGAAATAGTATATGCGCGATTAGGAAGAAAAGGGAAGTAGAAAAGTAGGGAACGCGATATTATCATCGCAGAAATATTACTCAGAAAATTGCCAGCGTGACTTCGAGCAGCCTCGTTAATTACCGTGAATTACTCATAATTATAAGGAGCATAAAAGTTTTTACTATCGTCGTGGGACGAGCCGTGCTCGGAACCATGATGCAAAGTCTCGATGGACCCACCTTGTCTGTAAATCTACCAAGATCTAACTAAAACAGTCCCGTGCGATTTCAAGATTTCTTTTACAACGTCTGCCCAAACACGCCTGCCAAATTGATATTATTGCATTTAAATTTTTTTTGTTATATTGAACGTTATTATCTTCTGATCGTGATTGAAGTTTATTCGGCCAATTCTCGTTTAGATTCGTGCAAATGTGTGTAAGCGATCAAAGAAAAGAAAAAGAAAAAAAAAAAAAAAAAAAAAGGTGAAAAAAGTAAGTTAAAAGCCGTTATTAAACCCGTCCCCGTTGTTATTATTATTTGGTTGCAGAGCAAATATCTATCGCGCGGAAGCAATTTGTCCACGATAGAAATTCAAACGCTTGGTATTTAAGGTCGATACGTACGAATCTTGTGTCGCACGGTTACACAATGAACCTGAACATCCATCAGTCAATGCGAATGCACTCGTTCGTTCTTGATAAACGGACGTCCACACTTTATGGGCCACCTGTTGCACCTACGCGCGACTCCTCGTCCAACTTTTAGTCTTTGCATTCGAATCCGCAAGAAAACATAGTTGTTGAGATCGTTTTCAAGCGGTGGTGTTGATGTTCCGCTGTTGGAAACTCGTCGATCGAAATAAGTAGCGATGCTCGATTATTAAAAAAGAAAAAAAAAGAAAAAAAGAAAAAAAAGAAAGGAAAAGAAACCATCGGACACTGGTAATATGGGATGCTTCTTAAAAATTCTCGTCTCGAGATTTTTCGAGAAATCGAATGAAAATCGAACGATTAGCATCGAGGAAACTTGCACGGGAAGAGAAAAAGAAGGAGGAAAAATTCTTGCCTAGAAGAAAGACCAACTCTCGATACGAACATAAATATTCCTTTTTTTATAATTTTTTTTTTTTGCAAAAAGAGTAAATTTCTTTCATTTCAAAATCAATAAACTCCTCGTCCTTCTTCATCTTTTCTCTCCTTTTAATCGCGTGTTATAACAGAAGAAATCAAGATTGATAATGCGCTCTCTCTCTCTCTCTC